AATAGAATAGAATAGAATAGAATAGAATAGAATAGAATAGAATAGAATAGGATTAGGATTAGGATTAGAATTAGAATTAGGAATGGAATGGAATAGGAATAGAATAGAATAGAATACAATAGGAATAGGAATAGGAATAGGAATGGAATAGGATTAGGATTAGGAATGGAATGGAATGGAATGGAATAGAATAGAATAGAATAAGGAATAGGAATGGAATGGAATAGAATAGAAATGGAATAGAAATGGAATAGGAAAGAAAATATGGAATGGAATGGAACAGAATAGAATATAGAATAGCAGAATAGGTAGAAGGGACCTTGGAGGTCTTCTAGTCCAACCCCCTGCTTAGGCAGGAAACCTGATACCACTTCAGACAAACGGTTGTCCAATCTCATCTTAAAAACTTCCAGTGTTGGAGCATTCACAACCTCTGGAGGCAAATTGTTCCACTGATTAATTGTTCTCACTGTCAGGAAATTCCTCCTTAGTTCTCAGTTGCTTCTCTCCTTGATGAGTTTCCACCTGTTGCTTCTTATCCTGCCTTCTGGGGCTTCGGAGAATAGCTTGACTCCCTCTTCTTTGGGGCAGCCCCTCAAATCTTGGAAGACTGCTATCACATTCCCCCTTAATCCTTCTTTTCACCACACTAGACATACCCAATTCCAGCAGCCGTTCTTTCCATGTTTTAGCCTCCGGTCCCCTAATCCTCTCTGTTGCTCTTCTCTACGGTCTTTCTACAGTCTCAACATCTTTTTTACATAATCAACATTTTTACTTTTTTTACATAATAAGCTTAAAATGTGATCCTCCATCTCCAGCCGAATCCATCGGTAAATAATTCAGAGGTCTCTCTTACCAGGCTGGGTTCTCTGTCTTTTGAGAGGCTGATTCCAGTTGTAGTAAGATCAGTAGTAGCTGGGAAGGAAGAAGAAAAAGGGAATTAATCACTTTGGAGTCCCCCATCCTACAGGTAGTTTTCGACTTACGTCCGTCCACAACAGAGATCACAAGTTAAAGGGCGATATAAAAAAAGCAGGCAGTTCCAGGTAGTCCTTGACTTACAACAAATATCTGTTGCTAAGCCAGACATTCGTTAAGTCAGCTTTCTCCCATTTTACGACTTTTCTTGCCACCGT